TTGTATTCAAGGGTGAAACAATCCCAACCTATATCACCGTGTGAAAGTTGTAACATACGGGCATCGAGACGGCGGAGAACCTCGGGCGAATCGTATTGCGCATTAGAGCCACGGATAGCGTGCTCAAGTTGAGCGGTGAGAGTATGACGATATTGAGCGCCTGCAGGACGATCAAGATTTGATGCAAGAGACTCCATGAGTAGAGCGATAAAATCTCCTTGCCCTAGGAGGATATAATTTTTAAGAGCCTTGAGATGTTCGAACAAATGGAACTTCTCTGACATTAAGTGGATTAGTCGGGCCATAGTCGTCTTATAAGCCTCATCGATCCATGTCTCTAAAGTCGCAGTATCACCGTACCGTAGTTCTTTCGAAGCATCCTTTGAGTACTCTTCCACCCATTGAGAATCCCCGCAACCATAACGGATAAAGTTCAAGGATTTACCAATCAGGAAGACCTTTTGAGCAAAGTCCTGGGTGATGATACTCGGTACCATATCTTCATTAAGTTTGTATTTGTCCTCCCATACACTGCTAGCACCTCCTCTATTTCTGCCATCTTGGGCCTCCTGGATCGCATTGGGATCCTGTTCCGAAACAAAAAATTCATGGTATGGATCGGATAATTCTCCATCATATATCCAATGTCGAAGCATATCATAAAACGGCCGAGTAACATGAATCAGCAACCGTTCGGCGAAAGCTCCTACCATTGGATCCCCGTGTGACGATGAAAATCCATGGATCAACGTGATGAGTTGGCCACCCTTTTTACTTTTTGATTCCTCGCTAATCAAGCTCATCAATCTCAAGCCCATCGTCGCTTCTCGGGTCCACACTACGCATCTCTTAAGAGTGACTCCTGCCTTTCCAACACCTCCTCTTGGTTCATTCTCGTCTAGCGATGAAAGTGCTCGTCGGATTTGACCTTCTAGTGTTGCTACTAGTCCAAGATATGACCTAAGCTCGCCTGCAATAGCGGCTCGTAGACTCTGTCCTAGGAGACCACCGTCGCTTGTCTGCACAAAACCAGATAAACTTCTGTATAATAACGATGGCTCAGCTAATGTATGAAGAATTGAAATTATCGGTACAGGTAAAGTATCGGGTAGTCTGAGGCTTGATTGGGCATCAAATGGTAAATTCGAGGATGATAGGCCTTGTAATGTGAATGGCAAGTCCCTAAGTAGTGCGGTTTCTGGGGGATCAATCTCGACATAATTTTCGGCCAGTAGAGCCGTCTTCAGTGCGACACCCTCACGCTGGCTACCTGGTGTCTTCGCAAATACCTGTTCTTCCTCCTTTCTGTCTTTCTGGCCCCCTTCTCGTTCCGGTAACTTCCTCAGTCCAGAAGGCGCAAAAGCATCGTCAAATTCTCTCTCTTCTCGCGAAGTTTGGCTTTGAGAGTCAAAAGTCCCATCTGTTTGAATGTTTCGACGGATATCTCGAAGAGGAGCAGCGCTGGCAGTATCTTGGTCCTCGGCAGGTCTTACAGACTTCTTCTTATTCACTGGACTCATAAAAGGGCTCGTCAGTCCAGAAGGTTTGGGTTGCTCTTGGTCGCCTAGTTGATAGAGAAAGTAAAGCACTGCCCATTTTTGTGTAATGACCGGTATGGAGAGGAGCCGGCTATATAAGTTTGTGAATCGTAAAGCTTCATTAGGACTTGGGTTTGTTTGTATTAATCGTTTCTTTATCAAATCGGAAGCTTGATTTACATCTGCGACAACAGCAGTTGTTCTTGAGCTATATAAATTGCAAAATCAGCATTCCATAATACTGGGCACAGTTTCCAAAGTCAATACCTTCCCAAAATTTCCCGTACGAAGTCGGTAGCATTGCTTTCTCGTTCTTCTGCGTCTGCAGGATCTTCTCCAGGAATATCTACTTGAAATCGGCGCACTAAGCTGTCAATAGCAGTGGAGATACGAGTACTTCGTGAGGACATAATTGCATCGTTGCGATAATTGAATATCTGCGACCTTATCTTAATCCTCAGAGAATCATATATTCGTTAACCTTCATGAGAGTTGATCAAAAGAGTGGACGCGTTGATAAGGATCATACGCGATGATTTATTTACTTCAATTTTGAGGGGTTTGGTTTGATTTAGTGACAGTACAAGGGAGGTAGGTAGGCTGGTAGGTTACCCTAGAACTCCAGATTTCTTAGATAAGGCTACAAGGCCAACCGACTCTCTCAACGTCACCTCTATGTTATGCCCCGAGTCGACCATCATTCAATCATCAACCACGCCATCAAATCAACGGTTCTTATTTTGAATTTGTGTTATCTAATTCTTCCGCTACTGCTCCATTTATGGGCGATAGAAAATTGAAGGTTTTCGCGCCTTGAGAGCGTGGTCGCGCGAGCCTGAATAGCTCCTACAGTCATCATGCCAGACATTGATCCAGCGGCCTTGAGTCGCTCAAGTGTGACGAACAAGAGTCCAACTCCTGTTCTATCTAACAAATCACTTACTGCGACAACACCGGTACAAAAATCTGCAAAATTCAATCATGTTCCGCCGCGCATCGACCTTGAACCGTTGTATACGGCAGTCAAGTCTGCCATTGGCGAGAATTTTGGGATATACAAAGATTCAATTGGCTTGTTTCTTATGGGTATGTGATGAAAGTTATCGTCTCTTGTGAGGGGCGATAATTACGCGTGTTAGCATTATGTTAATCCTTTGTTCCAGGGCACATGAACCAAATTGAACTTTCGTCCCGAATTGATCATTTTCTCATAACAAATACTGGCGAAATTGAACATCTTCACAATCAACTGATATCCGCCATTTATGCGAACACAACTCGTGAAATGCCTGACCAGGGCGTGGCAAGCTGGGTCAGTGCAAATGATAAACCTACGACAGGAGCTGGGAGCAAGCCGGTCAGCGGCGATGCGGCAGAACAAAGACTTAAAACAGAAGTTATGCAACTACCGAGTCGTGATAGAAGGAGGTTGAAGGATCTTTCTCAGAATGATGTAAGATTTATTTTGCTTATATGGAGTAATTATGAATCTGTGCTAAATTGCTGTATAGTTCGACCCGTTCGATGCATTTGCGACGATGCTAACCGAGCATCGCCGACCGAAGCCTGCACGACAGCCCGAGATTGTGCCTGCTAGTGCTGGTGGTCTGAATAAAACTAGTAAGTTATGCATAACCACCGAACCTAGCAAGTTCAATAGTACTTACATGTTATTCAAGATTGGGATCTGGAAATTCGGAAAAGATATGCTTTACCTCTAGCCTCGGAATCAGGAGAGTTTCCTGACATGACAACTATCGAATCGCGAATGCTTCCCATATGCTACGAAACAGGATTAGTCAATGGCCATGTCCAAGATGCCGCTCAATTCATGTCTGTGGCAACAGAAACCTTTATCAAAGAGGTATTATCATCGATATTCAGCAAAACGAGAAGCAATGGACCTGGGTCTACGGGTAGTGCTGGGACAGGCGGGGGTTCCTCCTGGGTGCAAACGCACAAGTATCGCAGGCAGCTAGAAAGGGAGGAAGAATCCTCGTTGCGCAACGAAGTCCTTCGAGACAAAAACGGCTTATTACCCACCGAGGCCCGCGCAGCAAGTGAACGAGGTCCTCTAGGCATGGCTGATGTACGAACCGCACTTGAGATTTCCGATTGTGGTTTAGGGCAAATGCCAGTCGTTGTCCAGCAAATTATGTTCGGATACCAAGAGGGCGAGCTAGAAGATTGGGACGCATTTACACGGCTTGGGCCTCAAGGAAGAATCATTACTGAGGATGAAGATGGCGACATCGAGATGGGTGGTCTCGAGGTCAACGGATTAACTAATGGCGTCAATGGGCACGCGATAGACGAACCAATGAGTGATATCGAAGATTGGGGATGGGAAGGGGCCGAATATCAAGATCGAGCTGCATTGGATATGGTACTAGATTCATGTCTAGCAATTGGAGCTTAACGCGTAATGTTACCTGCGGCTGGGTATGGCGTTTGCATTGAGGGTTTCAAAGGCGTTATTAACCCACTTGGGGGCAGTGGTGTAGCATTGGCGCAACGGATATTGGGTGTTTATGTACCAGAATACTGTATAAAATGATCATAAAAGGGAGGGTAGAGATGAAGGGCGCTTTGGGCACGGTTGGGTATAGGGGAACTCTGTACACGATGATACCCATGAACTGGCCAGGTAGGCCACTTATTCATAGTACTTGAATGAAGAAAGAAGCTAAACGATAGAGTGTAAAATATTATTTATATATTAGCGAACAACCTCAATTTATCGTTATCAGTCATGCTAAGAACAATCTCTTCGTGTCGTTTGTACAAGATGGTTTCAGATTTGGGTAGAAGGAGGAGAGAAAGCGTGACATCCCTATCAATTAATTCACAGTTGTTGGATGTGACTAGATTCAACCTTAAAATTGAGGCAGACCAGTTTAATCCCTACATCGCTCTTATTCTTCAACCACTTCGAATTTCAACCTATTATTAGCTTCAAGCAGATTAATTTATTCTGGATTAGAAAGCTACGACAGCTTCAACTTTACATCCATTGCGCATCCGTTTCAATAATTACATTCGTTGCTAGCCAGATTCTTATTACAGGGGTATTACAACCACCATATATGACCCCCATTCGGTATGTTACTCCGGTGTTAGGTTTAATCGGACTTAGTAGCTTAATCGAACCCAGTATTTCTCAACCCTTGAATAAATTCTAAAGCAATAGCAATAAAGGGTGCTGCTGGACTTGCCAATCTTATTACCGAATTTGAAGGCTCAGTTTATCATCATGTGCCGGGCTATATCGAAAAGTTCTGGTCAAACATAATCCCGATAGAACTGCAAGTGCCTACAACCTCGATGTCAAAGATAGTATCTTCTACTGGCACTTTGCTGGCTGAACTTCATGTCGTTAAGGATCTGGGAGAATGGGTTTCCTCCGTCCAGCCCTATCAACTCGCTAACAGCTAAGTTCAAATCCCTACTACACTCTATCCTATGGCTCAAAACAGCGATGCGAACTATGGGCAGCAAGCAAGCATATTGATTGCGTCAAAGCACGCAATACAATTATCTAAGATTTGTCCCGGAGCGGATGTTCAAGTCCTAGGACTCATTGAGAGCGGACCCAGTCTGGTTGCAGACGACGCGAGAGTTCTTAGGTTTTGTAAGATGGCTTGAGATTTTCTAATCATCTGATTTAAGCGTTGCTTTTTGCATACATTCCATATATACAATTCAATTTTGGAAATATGGACTTTTGATAGAGTATGGGTAGTCAGCAATGAAGTATTCAGTATTACAAAGAAATCCAGTGACTTTGCACATATTGTAGCTAGAAACATATCTTTGGATATCGAAGATACGGATCTGCAGGCAATATTGAAAGAGAATGATCAAGGTGTTTTTGTTGAAATAGCTGATTCCCCGAGACTGTATCTCGAAGAAGATGTGTTCTTCAGACCGGACTGTCTTATAGGACCTGGTACAGTATGCTTCAAGGCTCGTGCAGCACACACTCGAGGCCAAGACTTGGTCGTCAAATTCGTCTGGACCGAGACGGGATCTGCGGGGGAAAAAAACTACTTGCACTTACAAATAGCAAGAAGGCTTTTGGCATTTTCAAGCTCGAAGCGTACTGGGATTTGGGGGATATTGCTAGTTTTCAACATCGGCAAAGACTACAACTCTGCGAATCTTACAAATTTCATTTGAAGAATCAGGAGGATGAAGCGTTTGTAGGAGTACAGGTAACACTCGTCGTTTGCCCGTCAGAGAGAGACACTTTCAACTTGTATATTGAATGCTCAAAATTCTATAACCTACAATTCGAGTGTCTCGTCATTTCACCTTTCGGATGATAGCTCGATGATTTCTCCTTTATGGTGGAGCTCATTACAGTTTTCCGCGATATCATTAAGGTGCTTAATCTCTGTATCTCGAAGCTAATATTCTTTACTGCAACATCAGTCGATAGAACATCATCATTGTTTTTTTATTATTTCTTGATTCTCTTACAGGAATACTCATTGATCTAAATAAAGTGTTTGATCTTACAGAACCTTTATTAGAGATTTAGCTGCTGATCGGCATCTTGGGATTCATGGCCTGCGGCATCCTAGACAACGATGATCATATATATCGCTATAATCTAGAATCTCTATTCTACATCTTCCTATGGCTGGCAATATGCTATGATGGAGTCACTTCTAAGTATATATCGGCATCAAGTTGTTTTTATGCTTGGATGGGCTTATCATGCACGGGCATGAAATGGGGTGATCTCTTCAGAATCAAAAGTGCTGATATGCAGCCGATGGAGTTCTCGAAGCTTGTGGAGATGGAGTTGTATCTGCTGTTGGCGATAAGATGTCATAATTTGCTGTTCCCAATGCAGAATAGGAAGATATTCATAGGTACGAATCCAAGTCGTGCTGCAGCAGAACGACTTTATAAAGAGATGATCGCTATGTTTGAAAGCTATATTTATTTGTAGAAAGGAGAATCGGAGAAACTTTTGCAATATACCATTTAAAGATCAAACTATTTGTGAGTGATTGTATTAGGAATATTAACATATTTAGACAGCTCAAGAAATACAAACTAATCTCATATCCAACCACAGCGCAAGAGTAAGAAAAGAGACGCCTAAAGGGCTTTGGCTAATTACGCCAAAGCTTTCACTAGTCTTTATCAAAATTGAAAGCTCGAGATGCCGAATACTTCGATTGACAGTAATCAGTCTAAATATAATTCTGCTTTTTCGATGGATGACGCTACACATTATATGATTCTCTTTCAGCAATCGAACCCTATATAAATCGCTTCCTAGCATTACGTCAACCACCCAAAACTTTCTGTCCTTCTGAAGTCGCTCGAGCACTTACTCGTCCGGATCTTTAAGCGTTGGGTTATTCTTGCTGGCGCGAAGCCATGCCAGATATTCGATCGATCCTGTTTACGATGCGAGAGAACAATTACGTTGAGGTCTTACAGAAAGGCGTTGTGCTTGAAGGAGATCTTGGAGCCGGATTAGCAAATGTGGTTGGACCTATCAGAGTACAAAAGCCCCTCGCTTGATTTGCATTTATCTTCTAGGGAATTATGCAATTAGCACCCTGGAGTTTGTGATTATATCTAGGCTTCTACATTCAAATCCATAGAAATATTCACTTGATTATTAGAGTGTTGTGTTGTGCTGAGGAGTCGTACTATTCAAGCTCATTAACAACCTTGGCAGCCTACGAATACTTGATTTTGTGTTTTCTGACAAGCCATTTCAAATATTCACCTATTTCTCCCTTTGAGTTAAGGCAAAGCGATTTTGTTCCCTCGTTTCATCTCTCAACTTTGTCATGGGCCGATTTTAACACCGTGAATTGTCCTCGGCTCGTTCTACTCTACCTGTGTCGCAACAGCCATGCTGTAACATTTCAATCTTCCTATTTTGGGCTGCCATCCGGCATTAAATCATTTGATATCGAACTTCCGGCCGCTATGTGGAAATAAACGCAGGATCTTGTTTTCTATGGGGTTAGAATAAGTTTAGGTAGACCTGTTGACGGACAGGAGGAGTCAAGCAAGAAGGTGGTATTCGAGAGACTTGGTGAAAAGTCTGATGATTAGGGTAGCTGGTTGAAATTTCACCAGTGTTAGTACTGCAAAAGAAAAGTTCCAAATTCTATAGATCTCTTTTCATTCTCTAAAATTGGGGTAAATGAACATCCCCGTAACTAACAAATAATGAGGCTTCATCTCAGGATGTTTTCGCCTCTAGATATTCACATTTAGCTCAAATATCAGCCTTCATTCGTCTTCGGACGATCTGTCAACAATGGCCCTTGCATAACTTTTGGCCCGTGTGGCTGCAAATCCTGAATCTTGCAGTTCATGACCCCTAGTGACTCCAACCTTGAGCTGTCCCACATTACATAACCCCACGATCTTAAACAATCTCTTCTATCGCGACAGGAAACATAATTCTCCCCATCTAAGGCGGGATCCCATTGTTGGATAGACCAAAGCCATGCCTGATTTGGCCTCTCATTCCCTGTAGGTTGTGGCTCTAGTACAGTTTTCCGAAACTCGATATCTTGCATGATTCGCATGTCACGCGAGTGAAAGAATCCGTCCAGGGTATCCGAGAGGAAGTCGATGGGGGCGCGAAACACCCTATACTCGGCAGCCTCTTCTAACAGAAGGACTTGATCATATTCCGAGTTTTCGTTCATCACCTCGTGGAGGAATCCGAAGCCAAAACTCAATAACTTTTCGGTCATCTCTCGGTATTGATTGTAAGCTGAGTTTGTTCAATTAGCTTTCGAATTCTCATGGAAAACGAGACTCACTCTTATCTTTGGTCCTTGCTGCAGCCTTCTCCATACTGTCATTTGGATCTAGGTCGCGGTATTCTTGCCAGACAAATAGGTTACGAAGTTCAGCCGAACACTCTCTAAATATCGTATTGTATTGCCTGTAAAAGAAATCACGCATGCACTTAATTTCCTCTACCTCCCAAAGCTCAAACCTAGAGAAGAAGAGGTTGTTGAGTGCTTCAAGGGGAGATGACCAGCTTGGACGATAAGAAGGACGGCATTCTCTTTCAGAGAAAAGTATACTGAATGTTTCCATTCTCAAAATGCTACGCTGAACTCTGCACATCTCAGCTTGAGTAGGTAAGGGCAGATTCATTTTGTCTCCAGTCAGCGGATGATGTGATAGCGTCGATCGAAAAAAAGCCATAGATACATCGCGGAGAGCAGGTAGAAATTTCGATATATATATGAGTTCCGTGGGTGTAATATCCAAGGAAAATGTATTATTTCTTCCCTTATCATACTCTCCCAGTAGCTGCTCCACGTCGATGAGCCATGATGACCCACGCTCAACAAAGGAGGCTCGTACTACACATCGTGCTTCATGGAGAATGGCCGGCGTGAGTTCAGTTGCAATGACAGTCGCGAATATTTCCTCACGCCTCCTGCGATAGGCATTGTAAAATAGTGGAGATGAATGTGCGAGACAGTTGAGGGTGGTAATGTCAGGAGCGGAGCAGAGAATAAGCTCCTTTAGCTCTTGTGGCAAATCATCAAGCTTTGCCATATCGCAGTTTTCTTTTATCCTACAAAGTCTAAGAGATGAAAGTTATGAAGAACTAGAATACAATCGAGGCAATTGAGGTAGAAAGGTAACACCGTTTGCGTGTTCGGTGAGAAATTGTGGCCTAGTTCCGTGTAACACTTGGGTTTGTCTCATGGTAGAAGGTGTCACTAGAAGTGCAAACGGCTTTTGTGGGGTTAGTTTCACATGTAGGACTAGGTATGTAAGCTACAGGAGATAGACCGGCCTAGAAGCACGAACAATGGAAACTTTTTTACACAACAGTTTTGTTCTATGTGTATCGTTAGCACGAAGCCAAAGGTCCGATCAGTAGACTTTACTGCTTGTATAAGACTTGTTTTTGATTCCAAAAAGGGTTTGGTGTTTTGGTTTGGTATATTTGTTAAATATTATGTATTGGGTAGCACGTTTCTATTGTAAAAATTGCGACTGAATGTTTGCGTCGATATGTAGATCAAGTTGTGCTCAGAATAATCTCTATGAAATGTAGTAGTCAATTTCAAACGTGAATGTGATACTGTCATGACCCCAGGTCTTTCGAATAATCGCCAGCTAGTATTTAAACTCAAGCTTTGCCAGCCGGCAGTGTCTTTTTCCTTCTGAAAGATTGAAATCTTCACTCCCATTGGAGGATACGGACGTAATACTACCTACGCCTTCTCAAAGCTGCGTTGAACGCAAGAGAATCAAGTTTTGTCTCAATGGTTACATTGGGGCTACTAGAATCATGCCACATAATAGTGTAAACCTGCGAAATATGCCTCATGCACCATGCCGAAGGACTTACATTTGGATCACGAGAAAGCTGTGGATATCTCCTGATGTCAACGGAGAGCCTCATTTTCCCGTGAGTATACAAGAATAGTCCACCATGCTTAAAGCATTGAAACGTTCTCCAGCAGATACGACGGCTATCTTACTCTGAGTTAATGGCTGAATGGTAAGAAAATATATCTGAGCCTTGATATTTGCAAGTGATTGAGGCCGTTGAGAAAGTTGCACGACATCAGGAAGTTTTTGATCTCCTCTATAAGAGCTAATGCCTGATTCTCATGATAGTTATAATTCAAATTTGGTTTGTAGCCCTTGATATTTGATTTCAGGAATAATTTGACGCTAAATACATCCTTATGCGGGGAAACTCACGTTCAATAGATGCGAGACGGCATGAAGAAACCCCTCACCATCCCCCTTCTCAACACTCTCAAGGTCGGGGACACCAAACTGAAGAGCGACTGTCGCGAAGCGCCCAAGAATCTAGACAGAGAAAAATGCAGCAGAGAGAGGAAGCTAGGAAAGGTAAATCTCTCACTCACACACCATACACCAAAATTCAAAAGTAACCGCTTACCGTTTTCCATAGCCGGATATACCCAATATCCTCAGCCCTGGCCCCCAAAAACAGTATCTGAATGGAACGAATACCACCGCCTGCAGAGCATTCACGAAGCCGAAAGAGACGCATATTATAAAGCGTTTCACGATCAGGTTGCAGCTTGCGCATTGGAAAAAAACAGCAAACATCCATATAGTCAGTGGCCTATTGCCTTAGCTGGACATGCTGCACTCGAACAGCCTGCTCTTAACTGGAAGGAAGGGGCGCAAAAGTACGGTAAATCACTACCAATTTGACATTTTATTGATATTTGGTTTAAACAGTCATGGAAATGCTCGACAGGCATTTGTGGATAGATACCCACACAGTTATCCAAGCCCCCAGGATAATGAAAACCATCGAAAAATTGCTCAAAATCAATTTTTGGATGCTGAACATGCCCAGCAGAGATTGAACATTCACAGGCAATATGGGTTCGTTTCAAGATAGCTGTTTTCGGAGGCCTTTACTGATACCCGTAGATCTGCAAATACACCACCCGTCTTTAATCAAGACGAATTCCCTCCTCTGCACTGAAACTATTCCCACAGCTTCTTTGTAATTTTTGTTCGCACAATGGAGATCCTCAGTGCTATACCTTTTTTTTTGGCAGTAAATGCTTGGACTATCATGTTTTCAGCCAATTGACTTTTCGTGGATGATGTGGGAAGTGGATAGTGATTTTTCTTCAGCTCATTATTTGGTGTTCTTTGTTTCCACTTTCCTTTACAGGTACTAGGATGTCAGATATCAAATTCCACCTGCGTTATCAACATTACTGAATATTTACCCTATGTATTCTGAATACTCTTATGAGATACCATACGAAATGTCTAAGCAAATATATGAAGTAGAGAAAAGATACTGATGCACTGAAGTGAACCTTTTGAGGGCATTTCTTTGGAAGCCAGAAAAATTGTTTTAGAAATTGGTAGAAGTTCAGTGTTTTCCGGATGGAACGGAATGATATAGAACTGAATATTGAGACTTCAAATGGGAGCATGACAACACTAATCTAGGCGTACAATACTGCACATCTCGCCAGAAAAAGCAGACCAGGGGAGATGTGATCGGAATCAGACTTTTAGAGAATTCGTCCATGTGTTGCGGCAACCAACAAACTGCTATTCATTCTTGTATTTCCAGATGGGGGAAGATAGGATAGGAGTAAGGGAAATCTTTAACTTTAGAGATGGGATTGTAGTATCTTATCTGAGGATGAGAGAGGAAAATCCTAGAGTTGTTGCGTGCACGTTGAATACGAGAATGGTTGGTAGTGAAGAAAGGGTATCGAAATTCCTTGTGCTCAAGCCTCAAGCACCTCGCTATCTGGAACACACAAGGAATTGAAAAGCGAATAACAAATAACAATATGAAAAGCAAAAGACTTGAACCTCAGTTTGGGACCGTGGCATTCCTGGCTTTAGGAACTTGGGGCACTGTATCGTTGTCCTCGATATAGTAGTATGTCTCCTTCACTTTGTTGAAGTCCTCGAGTAAATGGTCATTACGTAAGAACTATATTCAACGCGGCGGAAGTACCGGAATGTCCCGATGCCGATAGTTCCCGCCAAGACGATTTTTATGGCGGGTGAAACTTTTGGAGTCCATAATTTTTTGACTTGCTATGATACCCACCCTCCGTGCCCACTACTGACTCTTAGCAATTCTTAACTGCAATTGACTTAAGTACGGGCATCCCCAAGATCTCAATTGAGTGAAATTGAACAAATTTGCGATTTTGTAAGATTTTGTAGTTTTTTTGAACAGTCACAATGCTTCGGACATCCACACTTCGAGCTCCGTTGCCTCGGGCAATAGCTCGTACATTCACCACCTCCACCTGCCCCGCGAATGCCGTCAACATCACGAGCAAATCTGCCACTCGGGTCCTCAATTGTTCTCCTTCATCATATAAGCTGAAGAGCTTGCAATCTTCGTTTTCTCGTCCGCAAAGAAATTTCCACGCAACTGCATACAATATGTCACAAACAAGAACCGAATCCGATGCCTTTGGAAACGTCGAGGTCCCCTCGGACAAATATTGGGGAGCGCAGACTGAGCGTTCGTTGGAGAACTTCAAGATAAACCAGCCTCAAGATCGCATGCCTCCTCCAATTATCAAGGCTTTTGGTATTTTGAAGGGCGCGGCTGCGACTGTCAACATGCAATTTGGTCTAGGTACGCCTACATGAAAGGAGAGACACGTTAGGACATGAGCTGACGAAATTTCGACAGACCCAAAGCTCGGAAAGGCTATTCAAGAAGCTGCCAAGGAAGTGGCAGATCTTAAGTTGCTCGACCATTTCCCTCTTGTCGTCTGGCAAACCGGCTCTGGAACCCAGTCAAACATGAATGCTAATGAGGTTATCTCGAACCGGGCTATTGAAATTTTGGGCGGAACCATGGGAAGCAAGAAACCGGTTCACCCTAACGATCACGTTAACATGTCAGCTTCCTCAAACGATACCTTCCCTACTGTTATGCACATTGCTGCAGTCCTCGAAATCGAGAATGAGCTCCTCCCTGCAACTAAGTCATTACGAGATGCTCTCCAAGCTAAAGTTGATGAATTTGAGGCAAAGAATATTATTAAGATTGGACGAACCCATTTGCAAGATGCAACTCCTCTTACCCTCGCCCAGGAGTTTTCTGGATATGTCGCACAACTTGACTATGGTATCGAGCGTGTCAAATCATCCTTGCCCCACCTTAGACTCTTAGCGCAAGGAGGAACTGCTGTAGGTACTGGTATCAACACTTTCAAGGGATTCGCAGAAGCTATCGCAGAAGAGGTTACTAAGATGACCGGAACACAATTCACCACTGCACCTAACAAATTCGAAGCTCTTGCAGCTCACGATGCAATTGTTCAAGCTTCTGGGTCCCTCACCACCCTCGCCTCATCCCTCTTCAAGATTGCCCAAGATATCCGATATCTTGGATCCGGTCCTCGATGTGGCCTCGGCGAGCTTGCCCTTCCAGAAAACGAGCCTGGAAGCTCGATCATGCCGGGTAAAGTCAACCCAACCCAATGCGAGGCCATTACTATGGTTTGCGCCCAGGTCATTGGAAACGGTACTGCTACAACCATTGGTGGTATGAACGGCCAGTTTGAATTGAACGTTTTCAAGCCATTGGTCATTAGAAATTTGTTGCACAGCATTAGAATCTTGAGCGACGGAATGAGAAGCTTTGAGAAGAACTTAGTGGTTGGACTACAAGCCAATGAGGAGAAGATTCAAAGTATCTTGAAAGAATCGTGCGTATACCGATTTCACTTATCAATCCCATCTTCCTTTTCCTTCGAGCCTGAAAATAACAAGTATTGACAAAACTCTCAATAGTCTCATGTTAGTCACTTGCCTGAACCCAAAGATTGGTTACGATATGGCTAGCAAAGTGGCCAAGAATGCCCACAAGAAAGGATTGACCTTGAAGGAATCAGCCATGGAGTTGAAGGCTTTGAGTGAAGAGGATTTCGATAAGTTGGTTAGACCGGAGTTGATGGTTGGACCCGAGGATTACAAGAAATAAGCAACAAAAGGAGAAAATAATGGCAAGGACAGTGATGAAGAATGCATTGATACCATCCATACATGAACGATATTGATGGTTAGCGTCATTGTTATTTGTATGTAGCGATGTACTCATAAATGGGCTGGAGCGGATTGAGCAATTTGCAGCATTAGCATTGCCGTGCGTATATATATATAAATGTAGATAGATATACACATAGGTTTGCTTGAGGAAGTTGTAAAATAGGAGAAAGACGATGACTAAATTAAATATGATTATATCCCCTTACCGACAACAACCTCCAAAGACATGAATTTGCAGGTCGATTCGTACAAGCTTGTCAACTGGTATAACGCATGTAGACAGCATCATCAATTAACAATAAGTAGTAGGTGGCACTACATTTATTTAGGTAACTTCTCTCCTTTTTCCTTCACTTCCATGATCTATCCCTACAAGTACGGAGTACCAAACACATAATTGCCCCGCCAGATTTTCGGATAAATTCGCCCTGTTTATTAGTTTGTGGAGTTTTGGAAGGAGGTGTGCCTCACTAAGCATGATCCGCTTCACAGCTTCCATCCTTATCCAAATCCAAGCTGTGATAGCTCGGCAGTCTTTCCACAGTCTCCATTCTCGAGCTATTGTTTCAATTCTTTTTTATGTTTCGCACCAAACTGATTGCATTCGAGTTTTGAAATGGAATCCACTTCTTCAGTGAATTCTCTACAAAGTTGCCACCGCATATCTCTATCTAGGTACTCGAGTACAGAGCGGTCAAAGTATGATGTTCATGATGAAGCTACTAATTATGATGGATTGGTGATTGACCAGGAAAATGATAACCAATAACATTCATCTAAATAACAGCAAGCTTACCTGCAAACAGCTGTCGCCATAAGGATGGCAGCTTCCAAGCCATAGATCTTATGATTATTTACAGGTTTACACCTTCTATAATCCTTCCTCATCCGTTTTCGGTCATAAACTCCACCAAAACATCGACTTCACGTGCATATACGCATAGAAAGGGGCTCCCGGTCTAGATGAAGCAATAATAGAAACCGCGCGGTATGAGTGATAATACCTAGGTATGGTTTAGACCCTGATCTTCTCACGGTGGGTCTTCATAGAGAATTAAAAGGGTATTTGCGGTTTTCACAATACTAGGTAGGTGAATCTGCTAGTTCAATCGCAAAATTATGGTCCCAGAGGGATTCCTTTTAATACAAATATTCCTTCATGTCCTTCCATCACAAATAATTTTGGTTAACAACCAATTATCTACAACATCATGGATCTTCAAGCCATGAATCCCAACTTAACTCAACCCGATCGAAGAGTGCTCGAGTTGCTACTAAAAGATGTGCAAAAAAGTAACAAAGCCAATCCCTCGGACACTCCTGCAAGTCAAGAAAGCCAAGCTCAAATCGACGAGCAAATTTCGATTTTAGAAGCACTCAACGATGAGAGCAACGAAAAATTCCAACCTACAGTATTTACGAGTTGGGATCAAGAAGATCTTGAACGCCTCCCCCGTCCTTTATACCAATACATACTTGAGCCATACATACAATGGGCGAAAGGAATCGTACGTCGACCAACAGATGTTGTCTTCCTCACACATATCATCCTTTACCTTGCCACGTCGGTCCCGAGCGCTATAATTTTGTACAACAGATTCTCGTTGATACATGGATTCTGCCATTGGATCATGCAGGCACTTTACTGCGGTCCTTTCACCCTTTTGCTTCACAACCATATTCATAACAACGGAGTTTTGGTAAAGAAATACGCATGGCTCGACCAAACGTTTCCATACCTCCTTGAACCCCTCATGGGCCACACATTACATTCTTATTACTACCACCATGTCAAATGTCATCATGTTGAGGGCAATGGACCAGATGATGTTTCTTCGACTCTGCGGTATCAACGGGATGATATAATTGATTTCCTGAAGTACTGGGGTCGCTTCATGTTCTTTGTCTGGCTTGAGCTCCCGTTATACTTCTTCCGGACTAACAAAATGAGATTAGCATGCGAGGTGCTGTTCTGGGAAGTTGGCTCATATGTGGGCATGTATGTGATGGCTAGATTGAACTTCTGGCCAACCCTCTTTGTATTGTTAATACCATTCATGCAAATGCGAATTGGATTAATGGCAGGGAACTGGGGACAGCATGCATTGGTTGATGAAATTGATCCCGATTCAGATTATAGATCTTCCATTGTTCTGATCGATGTGGCGGTAAGAGACCATTTCTTCATTTCATGGCACTGTTTAGATTGATAACTAATTTCTTGTTTTTTTAGAGCAACCGAAACTGCTTCAACGACGGTTGGCATACGGCCCATCATCTCAATCCACTTCGACATTGGCGCGATCAACCACTCAGTTACCTGAAAGGGAAACAAAAGTACGATTCTGGCAAAGCTCTCGTCTTCCAAAATATCGATTACATTATGATGTTCATCAAACTGATGCAGAAGGATTATGAACATCTTGCTGGATGTCTCGTTCCGACAGGGGAAAATATTGGGAAGAGCAAAGAGGAGCTGGCAGCTATGCTGAGGACAAAGACCCGCAAGTTTACGGAGGAGGACATTCAAAAGAAATTCAGAAGCAAAAAGGCTTCCTAGAGTTCCCCTGGGGAAACAGGTCTACTATCCAAGAACGCTGTAGATCACAGGGTGTTTATCTGTGCCTGTGACCAAGCCGGCAACTCCTGGGAAATTCATTGTTTCTTGAAGTCCACGGCCACGGTCAGTCGCAAGAGGAATGGAATGGAAGAGTCGCAACAGCCGTTCTTGATCCGCTATCTTTTCAGGGCATTCCGGTGCTTTCATATACGTACAGATCAAGCACAAACGATGTATGAAGCTACAACATCATGATGAAACAGGCTTGCATACATTGCCAAAGTTGGCCATTCCGATACAACACCTAGCACTAGCGTGGAGTGTCTCATATATCCTGAGCATACCTCAAGTACATATATCTGGATTATATGGAATATATCCTAACATCGGAGGAGGGTAAATTGTAGATTGGCTAGCATGGTATAATAATATAATGTTGAATTCATTTTAGTTTTTAACACTCCTTTTCTTGGTTAGATGCATTAGCAAATAAACATTGACTCCAGTGCTTCAATACAAAGGTTTGACGGTGCAGTTTGATATCGGACATAAATCAGGAGGTCCGTTTCCGATCGAGAACCTTAAGACGGATGGCTTAAAGGGTTGTCTGCATGAACAATGTACCTAATTCTTCTTATATTACACAAAATCATATTCATCCATCTACCAATCAAATCTCAACTCAAAGTCTCTTCTCGCTACTTTTCACGGGTAAGAATCCATATTATCGAACCCGCCCGTGTTGACAACTAATATCTTAGTCGTCGTATCTCCTTTCAAAGCAGGCGCTTGATCCCACAATCTCGTCAATCCATCCCTTCTACTTCCCGGATTGATATATGTCTCCCAGTAGTCCTGCTCGAGTTCCGCCGTACGTGCATATGCAATGGTTTGGGAAAATGTCGACATCCACACCCCGAGGAAAAGTGCTGCCTCAACCAACACAGCATAGTCAATAATAGCTATGGTATCGAATTCCATTCCTTCTAATAGCAAAGATGGGTCGGAGAGAGATGATGCCAAATTCCACTTATCATAAACCCGATACCCTAGTGCCGAAAGGGGCTCACGAAACGTTGAGATGGCTGCCTCATCCCCACAGCTTATATATATGGTCTTAATACCCTCGGCAGCCCCTTGGGTAGTAGATGCAAGCTCGATTTCCTGTTTGAAAAAATTCATTTGATCTTCTCGTGAACCAAAACTTTGGGGCCAATCGCTTTCACCTCGGAAGTGAACTCCAATATATCCATCACGTAACTCGGGACTATATCGCAGCCTCGATCCGAGATCGAGTAATTTCCGATTGTATTTTAGGGTGCGGAAGAGCTCTTTTTGTAGGGTTTGTTCTGAGTCATATGTGTAATTATATGCATATATCGTATCGCCAAAGCCAACCGCGACTGGATGCTCGGCTGAAATGGATGAGAGAGAAAGAGATTCTAAATGCTCGTTCACTGTAGCTTTGAACGTGCCGATGTGGTGACTGGCTTCTCCGTGTTCTCTCTTCTTTATTTGTATGATTCTATCCTCGTCTATTCCAGAAACATCCCCACATTGTCGTATTTCTAGCTCTGGGCAAGTGGAACCCATTTCCTGGAGAAGATACTCAATATCCCAATATACTTCCGGACATAGAGCATTATCAGTGGCGTCGCCGTGCTCAACGAGGTTCTCGGAGTTGCGATGCGTTTGCACTGTGGGAAGGATGATTCCGGAACCAAGGTCTAGTGCCAAACGAAGACAGGTTTGTACACGATTACGGGCATTGTTTAGACCACCGCAGATGGACGTAGAGTTGGGACCACACCAGGAGTGACACTGGAGGTAGAGCCCAGGTTGAAATGTGGTAGTTTCGCAAAGGGAACGGAGAGCGAGGAGTTTGTGTTCGCCCCCTACTTCTTCCACTTCTTTATTGTTCGTATCCTCATGGTTGATGTCTTCCTCCTCGATCATTTCAACATCCGTATCATCATCTCCATTCCGATTTTTCTCCGCACTTTCGTCTTCTTCGTTCTTTTTTCTTTCTTGCTCCTCTTTTGCTTTCCTCTCCTGCTCTTTCTTTTCCTCTTGGATCCTTTTGTCCTCCGCTTCCTTCTCCTCTCTTAATCTTTGCTTCTCCTTCTCCTCTTTCAACACCTTTTCCTCATGCGGACTGGCATCACCGGGCGCACTCTTCCCCCTCCCCATTCCAATTTCTTCTAGTCTTCCTAATTTACTCTCCTCTGATTCCTTGTTCCCTGCTCCGCCGCTTCCACCGCCCCCGCGCCAACCCACTCTTTTAACACCCCCTTCATCCTCACCACCAATCATTGACATTGGGAACTTCGAACTTCCTCTGTCCTTCCTTTCCCCACCATTGATTCCTTTGCCATCATTCAAATGTACTTTCCCCGATATCGAATTTCCATAATACACCACCCAAACAAACAACGAAAATGCAATAATGAAATTATGATATCTAGTCACCATGATTGCAGGGTCGAAAAATGGCAATATATCATAAGATATCAGAGAATCAGGTTTAGAAGTACTGATGAACAGGAGAGAACCATTACAGCAGATCCTTCTAGATTATAAAACATGTTGGTAGTTTCTACAAATTCGGCACGAAAGCTACACAATACCTGATACAATACCTGTTCTCGGAAACAAAGTCATTGTGACTTGAAATCGACAAATGCGTCGAGTACAAGTATAATTGCTGAGAGAAAACAAAAAGTTGAATGGATGCAAACACAAATTGTATGATGCATTGCGAAAACTTTCAGCTTTTTGCGGGAAGGTGGTAGTTTTAATATGGGAGTACACGCTCTGTTCTCGGAAAACTTCACTTGGTTGCGAAAACGACGGAAACGACGAAAGTTGTGAAAGATCTCAAACACGACGAAAAATAAAGCCAAATACGAAAGAACATATCTATTACCGAACTGATGTTTGGAAAACATACTGCGAAACTTTGAAAAGTCTCGTTTGGTATATGTGGAAAAGAAAGAGAAAATAGTGAAGGAATTCGACATTTGGAAAATGCCGGTCTTTCTTGGTTGAGACGATGTCCATGTGTGATGTTTTTGAAATTTTGATGTGCATCAAAGAAGGAGAAAGAGAGAGTCATCACAATAGTTCCTTATTCTTAACAACAGTAAGGAGTTTAAATCCATGTATATCATTATCATTATCATATTTACTGAAAGCCTCGCATGAAATTGTCTCAGATACACATATTTCCGAATTTGGAGAAAAAGCAAACTCTGAATGCGGCATGGCGTATTTCAAGCACATCATCCCTAGAATAGGGGAAATAAATTTTAATTTATACAGTTACGCATCTCAGTAGCTGCTTGTATCTTTTATCTCCATTACATAATTCGGGACAGCTATGTTGGGTAACTACAACATCAGCACGGCCAAAGAAAACTTCCTCAAGGCCAAACCTCGAAAACTGCTATTTCCAGTCATCTATCTCACGATATTCATTTTGTTTGTACGAACTGCAATCGAGCACTCGAGAATCATGGAAATCCATGGAATGTCAGCTTTGAGATCGATAACTCAACTCATGTAGCTCACAATGATCTCACATCAACACTCTCATCAGAAGATCTCGGAGCAAAGCCGCAGCCCCCTACAGCAAACATAACAACCAGCAACAAAGTAGCCGTTATAATCGAAACCCGACGGTCCGGCAACATCATTCCTCTCATTCTCCATTTCAGCGCCGTGCTAGGACCAACCTGGCCCCTCATCATCTACACATCCGCGGAGAACTTCGGATCCTTCTCCACTTCTGCCGCGCTCCTCCGACACCAGCACTCGGGCCGCATCATCGTGCGCTCTCTTGCGGCCGGAACCTGGTTCTACAACTGGGATTCCGTTTCTGCGTTTCTGACGACGCGCTGGTTGTGGGAGGATCTGGCGCCGGCCGAACACATCTTGCTGTTTCAGTCGGATAGCATGTTGTGTGCGAATGCGGCGAGGAGTGTGGATGATTTTATGGAATATGATTTGATTGGTGCGCCTATTGAATCGAAGTTTGGGCAGGGATATAATGGAGGCTTGAGTATGAGGAGTAGGAAAGACTATCTTGAGGGTGTTGGATGAGTGGAAGTATAGTGATAATCCGCATCCGGCGGAGGATCAGTGGTTTTATGCTAGGTGGGTTTTGGTGGTTTTAGACTTGAGCGAGATGTTGTAGATAGTGCTAATGCATGTGTGATGGTCTTAGGTTCAAAGATTTACAAGATCGAGAGATTGAGGAGGGTGTTGAGGATGGAATTAATCTGCCGAGTATGGAGATTGCAAGAACATTTGCAGTGGAGACAATTGATCATCCTCATCCTCTAGGTGCCGATTCCCCTTTTTCTCTTTCGCTTTTCTCTATTTCTTCTTCTCTTTTAGATATAAGAACAAGTATTGGAACTAATGCTCGAGCCAAACAGGTCTCCATCAACCTACAAGATACATTCAGCAACACATGATGAGCTTGGATGAATGGTGTCCGGAATATAAATTGGCTACTACAGATCGGATATCTTGAATTGACTTGGTGGAAGGGAGCCCATAACTGTGCTATCAAAATGGGACGGAATGAAATGGATGAGATATACTTTTGATTTCTTGGGTGTGCATGAAAATGAAGAATTGTATTGTGTAAGATAGATGGATATAAATTGGAAGTTCTCTTTGAGAGTGGAAAATTTTTGACAAATCCGAATTTTAGTATCCTACAAGATTCAGCTGATAGCGAAGAATGAGATTGATAAATAAAGCTTTTTTCTACAAACAACTATTTTTCTTCTAATATCAGATATGCTCACTAGTCGACCCCGAGGCGACCATACCTGGAGCATAGCGAGTTACAGTTGACAGGTGGAAGAACAAAGTTCATTATGTTCCTTTTACAACCTCTCATGTAAGTTTTTAGATGACCGGCCTACTCATTGCTACGGCACTCAATGTCCACTGGAACATGACTCCGATCTTGGAATCAAGTACTCTCTTCATAACACCGGCATTGGCTGCTACTATACATAAGCTAGATATATGCGACGCGTCTATTTTGCAACCGTCCCTCTTCGAAGCAATGGCAAAAAACCCTGAGTATCTAGAAGGACTCCGAAAACTAGACCATGTCATCGGTGTGGTTCTGCCTTTAGCTCATCCATCATCTCGAACAAGATAGGTTCTGTGGTCCCGATTTACGCAGCCTACGGTGCTACTGAAGCTGGCCCTCTTCCTCTGGTCTTGGAAGATCAGGAATATCATGAATATATGACTTTCAGCCCGCTTTTTGGCGCGCAGTTTCGACACGGTACGGACGATCTGTATGAGCTTGTCTTTGTCAGAGATGACGCTCTGTGTGCCTCTCAGAAGGTGTTTTCATATACCGCATTTGACCCAGTGGCCGACTAAAGATTTGATGTCCAAACATCCTACTAAGGAAGGCATGGTGAGTAAATTGAATCTTCTGTATTCAACTTCTTCACAAAAGCATCAGTAAGAACTCACTAATGATGTACCCTTCTTCTGGTGGAAATACCATGGCCGTACAAACTACATCATCGTATTATTAAACGGTGTAAATATTAATCCCCTATTAATGGAAGGAATCCTCATTTCACATCCCAAAGTCGTTTGCAGCCTTCTCACAGGAACAGAAAAGGTAAAAGCTGCCTGGCTAATAGAGGTTGTTCATCCGCCACAGAATGAAGAAGAGACTACTTCCTTGATAGAAGAACTCTGTCCTACTGTCGAGAAAGCAAATGATGCCACTTATCGTACGGAAGGCAAGGTTTCCAAAGATCACATCATCTTCACTTCGAAAGACAAGCCGATGCTGAGAGCTGGAGAAGGATCCGTCCCGCGGAAATTTAACTTGTGGAATTTTCGGCGGGAGCTGGATGCCCTGTATGAATGAGGGTGTATTGTGTGTAAACAATTAAATAGTCCCGGATCCAGTGCTCTTTGCAATTTTCAGAATGTCTGAATGCATGACCCAGACACATTTACACTCGATTTCGGGAATTTCTCTGTTCTGAGTATTTGAGAATTCGATAAACTGAGAGATTTCTTGTATCAAAGCGCTCTCTGGAGCCGGATAAATAGGCGGGAATCTAATCTCAATTCAGAGGGTTTTAGTGAACCTTTTATAATCCAGATAATTAGTCTAGATAGAGGTGAAATTCTGAGATTTTAGCTTTTATATATATTATATATAATATTTATACTGTTTTTAAAAAACTAGTAGCCCCTATTAAGATATCTATGTATATAATGAAATTGATTCTTTAAAATCAACTCTACTATTAATAAATACCGATTTAGATATCTCTCTATTCTCTCTATTCTCTCTCTCATTCTTTCTTTATAACTCTCATTCTTTTTTATTTCCTTTAATTCCATTAACCTTAGAATCTCATTAATATTCATCTCATCTTTCATCTCTCATCTTTCATCTTTTCCCTCATCATATCTTCCATTCTCAATTACTTTCTCTTCTCAGTATATACATACCCTGAAAGAAACCACTTCTCTATTTCTACATCTCACAATCAGATTATAAATACTGATGTAAGATTACCTAGTAGATAAATAGATAGATAGATAGATAGTATATAATCTCCAATCATTCAATAACCTATAACGTGTTTTATCAGTGAGTGGGTCATATCAGTAAGTGGGTCACTTTTATCTCAATTCATTCTCTTCTCTTTTAATATGCGTTTTATCAATAATCTATAATAAATCCGAATAATCAAGAAGCCTGTATACTCCTTACTATTGAAGCTATTCAAAAAAACAAAAAAATAAGTATTCGAAAAACTGTGAAGATATATAATATTCTGAATACAATATTATAGTATAGAATCAATAATTCTATTTCTCATTTCGAATATCAATCTAAATCTAATAATCTTTTAGAATTAAAGAAGAATATTATTTCTGAATATATAATCGATATGGATATAAGAGGATTTTCATTTAAATTAAGAAATGTAGAAGATATAACAAATCATATTCTCGAATCGAAGAATGCAAATTGTATTGGAAAGCTTTGAGTATATCGATTTGTAAAGTGTCGAATCGAATTAAAAATATATTTTAATTGTATTTATAATTTTCAAAGAGTTTTCTGTAAAGATTTTAAGCTTATTGAAGATTGGTTTTGATTGGTTATGAATATGTAAGCGAAATTCGGCATTTTGGATAGCGATTTCTACAACTTCAACGAAACAGGCTTTATAATGGGTATAATATACCCCGGAATAGTAATAACTAGTGTTAAACGAAATGGCAGAAGCAAGGCAATATAATCAGGTAATAGAGAATGGGCTACAGCGATTATATGTGGTAATGGGGAGGGTGAAACTATACCCCCATTTCTAATAGTTCAAGGACAGATTCATCTTTCCAATTGATATACTGAAACCGATTTTCCTGCGGATTAGGCTATTAAATCTATATCTAATGGATGAATAAATAATGAGATGAGTTTAGAATAATTGAAATACTTTGATAAGTATATTAAGAATCGAAGAAAGAGCAAATATCGAATGTTGATATTAGATAAGCATAAAAGCCACAAATTAAGAACTTTTCAAGTATATTGTGAAGAGAACGATATTATATGTTTATATTTATCATTGTATTCAAATTATCTAACTCAATCACTTGATGTAAGTTGTTTTAGTAATCTGAAATATTTATATGGTAATCAAATTGATAAATTTATTAAAGCATATATCAATTATATTTCGAAGGTTGAATTCTTTATAGCTTTTAAAACTGTATATAAAGAATCAATCATTTCTCAGAATATGAAATCAGAGTTTCGAGGAACAGATTTAATCCTATTTAATTCTAAAGCTATACTCTCGAAATTAGATATTCGAATTCGTATATCTATTTCCCTCTCTTTCAATCTAAATCAATAGATCTTTCAAACCCTTTGTAATCCAATTGAAGCTTTTTTTCAATCAACATTAATTAAATCTCGAATAACTTATTATTATTCAAATTCCTTTATATCTATATTTGAGATTATATTAACTTTAATTAAGAGTATAAAAAGATTAGCTTATAAGAATACACTTTTAAATATAGAGATCTATATACTTCAAGCAATAAATAAAATATTAAGCAAGTATCGATATACAAAAAAAACCCAATTGTATTAAGAAGAAGTATTTATTAAACAAAAGGCTTTTAATATATTATCTCAACAAAAAATTGATATTCAGATTCAATATAATGAATATCAAAAAGGAAGAAATCCTAATAGAGAAATATCTTTTAATCAATACTATAGTAAATATAGAAAGATAGGTTATAATACAAGAACCTATCAAAATGATATAATAGATTCTAGATTATTAGAATCTTTATAGTTTCAATCAATTGATATTGTTATTATTGAATAATATGGTTTTGAATAAGTGAATTGAGGTGAAAGTGACCCACTCACTGATATGACCCACTCACTGATAAAACACGTTATCCAAAATAAACCTTATAGAAGAAAGGATCTCGAATCTACAATCTAGGAACAGGGATAGGGGAGGGATAGGGGAGAGATAGTACCCCCGCTTCCGTTGTAAAATTGTAACATACGTATGATACCTACACATCGAAAGGAAGAAATCTCTACAGCCAGCCAGCCAGCCAGCCCATTTGTCATGGAGTATAACGTCTAAAGAAGAAAAGCTGGAAGAAAGGATTGAATCAACCAACCTAGGTACCTAGGTATTCATCTATTACCGATAAGTATTCAAAGACTTTCAAACAATAAGCTGGCACTATTTCAACCATGCAATCACATGGAGAAACTCGCTATCCGCAATCCAATTCACAGTTTAGTTTAATTTGGTTTGATGTGATGTGATGTGATATAATATGATGATATAATATGATAGATTCTCGGGCCCAAAAAACTAAAATGATCAAAATCTGATATCGCTAGCTAGCTTACTCCACGAAATCGTTCTTCACCCAACCCCCCTTCCCGCTAACATCATGGATCAACCCAAACCGCAACATGGACGCGCAAGCAAAAGTGCAAGACACACCACACCCATCAGCTATCCCCCACATCGTATACTCATCGCCCAACAGGACAAGGAGATATAAAGAAGAGAGAAAGAGGCAATCAGGGAAGAAAAGAGGCTTTTCGCTCTCCATCCCCCAAAATCGAATATAGAAGATAAACATACAAGCAAAACGCATTCAAAGGTATTTACCGAATCGATTCCCACGCCAAAGCTCCACCCAGGTTCCATTTCGCATTTCGCTTCCCAATGCTATCCCATTGGAGCCAGGTACCCATTCATTTCCATCCCACCCAGATCGAGATGTCGTACAGACAAATCGACAAATCCGCAACTCCGAAACAAATCCACTCTGATAAGATACTATATTCCACACCAAGGCCCAGATTCTGGCATTTTTTTGTAGAGGAAAAAAAAAGAAACAGAAAAACATTTGTCAAAATGCTCAAGGTTTCATGAACATGCTCAAAGAGAATCACATAACAACGCCACCAACCTCATCTTCAACTTTCTTAGAGTTCTGTGTTGTCCTATTCGAAAGGAGATGTCCGCCCAGCCATACAGTGTAAGTTATATCCCACATCACCCTCATCCCTAACCATCCCATCCAGCCCCATATCCTCCAGATAGATTCCGAACGCCCATATCCTTCCGTGTCAAGGCGCCGAATGAATACCCATCCGCCGACCAAGGCTTGCACATCGGTTTGCGTTTATAGTGTGTGCTTGCCATCTCGTTGGAATTTGCAATTCAACAAAAGAAAAGAAGAGAAATCGACAAGTCATGAGAATAGATTGTCACGTTCTTATGACAATTCCTTCTTTACCATCTCCGGGCTCTCGTCATTGGTAGAATCACTTAAGATTTCAGATTTATCGACAGGCGATTGAGAGCCTCCATCGGCATTCGCGGCTCCATTTGCAGCCTTTGTTCCGCAGCCTTTGACGAGTATGTGTCCTCTGGGTTGGGGTTAGTCTGTGATTTAAGGATGAACATATTGAAAAAGGGAAGGAATACAAACCTTTAATGCATCTTTTCTCGAGAAACTCTTTTCACAATGACCGCATGGGAATGGCTTCACAGATAAATGAATACGCTTATGACGTTTCAAATCGTGGTTGCGGTTGAAAGATTGCGGACACTGATCGCATTTAAATGGACGGTCATTTTGAGGCATCTGTTGAGGATGATGACTGCCATACATTGGCCCTGGCATTTGTTGAGGATATCCCATATTGCCCATTCCGCCGAGGAGTGCCATTTGACTACCAGGTTGGTGGACATTCGACATAATAGGTGCGGCTAAGGTGGGGAGATTGTAATGTGGATATGAAGGACGAGAAGGATAACCTTGGTGAGGTGCGCCCATGGAAGAATGCGAGTGATGAGTTTGGATGGGAGAAATCCGGTTAGAAGGGGCGGAGGAGGTATTGGGAGATTGTTGTGTAGGTGATTGTTGGGCATAGGCGGGGAAATTTGATTGTTGAGGAGTGGATGAAGGGGGGTAGTACTTTGGAGTTGGAGGTGCTCGTCCGCCATAGTTATCGGGAGCTGGCCCGTTGCCCTGTTGGGGTGCTTGAGAGGAGGATTGATGAAGGTTCATGAGATTGTGGCTGGTCATATGTTGCTGCTGGGGATTTTGTGGTGCAAGAGTGGGGAGATTTTGTTGTTGACCACCTGAACCAGACATTGGGACTCCGGTAGAGAATGGGGGAAGGCTCTCAAAGGTAGGTGGTGGCAGTCCTTCTGATGAAGTGGGAGAATGGGGAATTCGTGACCCTGGATAGCTACTCATGGAGGGCGAATATAGTGGTCTACTCATATAACTTTGTTGTTGTTGTTGTTGCTGAGCATAAGGCGCACTCATCGGTGGCGCAGAACTAAATGTGAAGTTGTTTCCGGACTGAGTGTTTGGCCAGAAAGCCGAAGATTGATAGGGAGGTACACCGGCGGTCGAACTACCCGAGCTACCACTGTTGACGCTGGACGCAAGAGGACTTAAGCCGTCATGCGAAACGCCGGCTGGAGGCGTTAATATATTGTTGGCGATAGCAGGAACAGGCTGGGAAGAACTGTTTGTGGTTCCGTGAATATAGTTGTTGGATTGTTGTTGATATTTGTGATGGTGCATTCCAAGGGGTTCTGGAGGGGGAAGCTGGAAGTTGGGAAGATTGGATGCGGCGGGCCGGCGAGCTGTAAAGCTGGCGGTCTCCATGATAATCGTGGTAGATTATTGGAAAGTCCACGATGAAGGATTTAAAGTGATGACGGCTCCTTACTTTTGCTCTGGATCACCAATTTCACGTTGTCGCGTGTGAAAAGTATTTGGTTCGGACGGGTAGATGCACAACCGAGGCGAGGGAACGAGGGAACGAGTAGTGAAAAATGGGGAGTGGGGATAATTCCTTCTTTGCTAACTTGTTTTTCTTTGCTTGTGATTGTGGATGTGATAAGTGATTGTGATAGATAGAGCAAGAGAAGAAGAATCGAGTAAAAGGAAGAAAGCAAAGATTACTTTGAGTCCAAGTCGTATCTTGATCTTTTTGTATATCTTTGGAAACCCTTTGATTTTTGAATATATAGATAGATATAATATAGACGGATCGGAGCCAAAAAGACGGTGGGATATTGGAGATCAAGACAATCCGACAAATCTCGTAGGTTCGTTAGGGATTTTGGTAGTGTATTTACTGGAATGGAGAATGTGGAGTTGTCGATCACCTGGATGGCGGCCGGGGAGGCGTCTGCTTGATTTATGTAGGTTATTGGGTCTGGGAAATGGTCTGTGCTGATGGAGTAGTGTGGTGTGGTGTGTGGACTTTCGTAGGGTAGTGAAGTGTGGGTTGCAGATGCGTTTGGCTGGATCTTTCTTGGTCAGAGCTGGAGGGGTGAAGCAGTCCTTTTAATGGTAGTATGGTAGTATGGTTGTATGGTTGTCTAATGGTTGTCTAATGCTGGATCGATTTGATTTGATTTGATTTGATTTTCCTGGGCGGCCTCGTGGTAAAGGGAATACCGCTTAGGGACGGGGGGATGGTTTGGATCAAGTGAATAGATAAACAGATAATCAATAAATCAATCAAAGTCGTTGGTAAATCGGAAATAGATGATGGATTGGAGACATGGAGATGTATATAAATAAATAACAAATAAATAAACAAATAAATAAACAATGTAACCAGAAATATAAATAAACTGCGTTGTATGGATTGCGTACAGACCAATATAATATACCAAATAAAGATAATACCATCAACGAGATGTTGAGCTCGCTGGTCGAAGGGTAAAAGTAGAATGGTAAGGGGAAGGGCACTAGTATAAGGCTAGAGTAGCTTCCAGAGTAGCTTCCAGGAGTCCCAGCTATTGCAAAAATAAATCAAAAAAAAGAGAGTTTCGTGGTTTGGGGCGATTAGATTAATTTAGTGTCATATGGCTGGGTACCTCCGAGCTCTTGGGAGCTAAAAACTAGTTAATAAGGCCAAGGGATCATAAGTGTGCTCGAGGAAAGATTACACTAGAGTCAAAAAAGACATGGGGTCCTGCAACTGCGATTGATTGGGACCGAGAGTCGACGGAGCGAGGGATGCGGTAAGGATCGAGGGTCGAAGGTTGAAATGTTAGATGCTTATTATATGCTGAAGGGTTGTGGGTGGTTGAGTACCTAGAGTAGTATGCGGAGTAGCTCTGGAGACTGGGCGAAGCTTCAAGGTTTCAGGTTATTGTTTCTCGATGGAGAGTAGCTCGATGAATATTGGGAGCGATAGGATTCCGTTCTAGTATAGTGTGATATTGATTTGATTTGCAATTCTGCGCTGGATTCGATTGGTGGGCGGCGGAATGATTTGCTTGATATGACAGATTGGTCGGATTGATCGTTGGTATTGGTTTACGTGTAAGTACGGTAGGTCGTCTTTGATGTATTTGCAATGTTAGGTTGCTGCTTGTTGCTGATCCGGTTCCTTTCGATACTGGGTCTCGTAGGGGATATCCGGACCCCATATGCGATGTCCAGCTGTATGTAGGATGTATATGTACTGACGTCCGAATATGTGAAAGAGCAACAGAGTCACAGGTAGATCGGACGAGTAGGCAAGCTGGATCCAAGATGAGATCGAATGAAGGGGTTTGTCACTTGTATCATTTGGAGAAGTGACATAGGGTGGACTTTTGGAGATCTCAGATAATATGATGGAATTACTACATATCTGATGAATATACAGAGTAGGATCGATGGATTAGGGATCAAATTATTCTTTTCGCTTCGTCTCGTCTCGTCTCGTCTCGTCTTTCTATACTTTGTTCAACAGCAGCTCTGGAATTGGAGTTGGACCCGAATTTCGACAGCTGTGCTTTGCTATGTTTCTGACATGTTCAAGGGTTGCTGCTGCTGCTGAATAATTTTAAAGTGCTTACGTTCTTCAGAGTTGTAGAGGTATTCCGACCTGGGATGTTCGCATTCAATATTCTACTTTCTTATTCTTCTTCTTCTAGGTGTCGGCATAGATAGGTAGCTAGATACAGTTCAATTATAAAATTGTATTGTATCACGATCGTACAGTTATCAAGGGAGGGGGAATACCTATTCGTCCTCACATTGATTGGATCTTATTTATTCATTTTATTCTCCTTTAATCATTAAATCTTTCCTAACCCTATGTCTCTTTTTCCTTCTTTCTTTCTTTTATGCGATGAACAAGGATTGCACTTGGTAAGATATGCATCACATTGCTTTTGATCGTTTCTTCTACTTTGTAGCTAATGAAAAGCTTGACTTTTCTATCATATGATGAAAAGACGGGACAGATACTGAGAGTTCTCCGTGGAGAGCATCAGAGACGGTATTGTATAGTATTACCAATTATCGTATGGTATTGCTGAATAGCTTCACATTATCTGTTTACTAGTCGCTCATGTCCCACTACGCATACTCTGATGGTAATCTTCGAGCTCATAGCAATATCCCCATACCAATAATCACCCCGTCGGCTCAAGTCCACGCGATTACTGAAAAAGGTCTCGCCTGGAATAATACAGTTCAACTCATCGTTCCCCATGCTCCATTACCAGGATTTCCCCCCAGCATTTTTTTCGGGCGTATGCGAGTATGTCCCAAAGGCGTTCTGGCTGAGCTATTTAGCTCGGGCGGCTTGAAGCTAAGGCGTGCGAAAAACAGGATGAATAAGAAAAAAATTAACCTTGGGAACTTGGGGGAGGGGGGGGAGGAAATGTCAGTTTGACCTGCACATTTTGATTCTAATGCTCAAATTAAGGATTTCCAGACTTCTGGCTGGTGTGAGATCAAATTGGCTGTAGCTTCTTTCTTTTTTTACGATGCATATGATACGAAAAAAACTCGTTATTGGGGTATTCTCATTCGAAATGATTACCATATATTTTTAGGTACCTAGCGATTAGCCTATCCCAAAATCCTCGAATCTTAGAATAAGAATGAACAGTAAGTAAGCTGGGGTGTACGAAAAGTCAATAGACTAGACCCTTCAAGTCGTAACATTTATTCTCCTACGTCTCATTGTTCACGTTGTACACCAATTTTCCCGTCGTGCTTCTCTCTTGCTTCATCCTGTACAGCATTCGAGAATGGGAAAAGATCTGGGCATGACCATCGGACTCGAGAAAATATGCAGCCTGTAGGTACAAGACCAGACCAGGGCCATGTATGTCAGTATCGATTGCGATGATCTGGGATGTTTTCTGTCATATTTGGGAATGGTCGTATAAGTATGAGTATGAGCATATGTATATGTATATGTATATGTATATGTATATGTATATGTATACTCTAGATTCTGTCATTTCCCAAGCGCTTCTTGAACGAATAAAAAGCATAGGTGGCACCCTCGAATGTTTTTTTCTTGGGATAATACCAAGACAATTTGGGTAGTTGTCAAAGACATGTGTGGTGAGTGACAAAGAAAACATCCGAGATACTTGAAGCTTGTCCTTCATTGGGGTGGTGTCGTGTTCGTGTTCATTTTCGATGTTCATCGATCGTATCATTATAATTATCACCATCGCTATATTTCCTTCTTTTTTCCTCGCCTTCACGGTACTTGTGTTGAGTTGCTATGAGTAGGTAGGTATTTGGTATTTGTTCCTGTCTAGATAACGCTGGGGAAGGACTTACTTAGCTAGGTAAGGAGTTGGGTGTTTTGGTCTAAAACATAGGTTACAATACAAAACAATACATCTTAGTTCAAGACTCAAAATCTAAAATGTAATAAGATAAAAATATTTCCTCCTCGAGACAAAAAAGAAAAGAAAAGAATGGGCCATCCTGGAATTTTGGGATGCACTGACCAGGGGTCTAATTGATTGGCGTCTTTAAGCTTCGGGGACCACCCACATTGATCCTCGTTTCCATGTAAGCTTGTTTTTTATGGCTTACTCACTGCTGGGATTGGCGTAGGGGAGAAGGGTTGGAGGAGGTGGTGGTGGTGTTTGAAAGAGCAAAGTAAAATGGAAACGGGTTTGGATTTGGATATGGATATGGGTTGGATCTCACTAGACGATAGGATTCATGAATAATGAGTAGTCATCAAGCTGATGATGAGTATTTTGGGGGTCAGATATTGTGGTAATCCTCTAAAAGTGTAGATCGTCGCTGCGACATATTTTAGTATCTGACTTGATATATATCTATGGTGACTTGATGACATACATCTATTCTTATCCAATTCTTTGGTCTAACTCAACAACGACAAAAAATCCTTCGCTTCAAACCAATGAACAAAATAACCTTTTCCCTTCTCCATGTCCCCTCAGAGTACTCAGATGACCTCGTTATGATCAGGCAGCATTTAATGGTCCTAAAATACATTTCAGCTGCTGTTCTGTCGAACGTCCATATACCCATCAACCAAATATCCCCAATCTATCGAAAAGACTTGGCATACCGAGTAAACACAAATAGATAACCCTGAGACTGTTATACTATACCACAATCTAATGCGTGACTTTGAACTTCAGCTCAACCCGCTAGACATACCCTTTCAGACGAGGAAATCTGAGTTTAGCGAGAGCACATAAAGCTGCTACATCGCAGACAACTCCCAAAATACAAGATATTTGATATACAGGACAGGATCGGTGTTCAGCGATGTTCGCTCGGTGACCTTTGAAATGTTTCATTGGCTGAATCGTTTATTTTGCCTGATTGGGGTTTGGTGAGTTTGTGATGTGATAGATGGGGGTCTA